CCCCCCCGCACAAAAAAACACACATTTTACTCTCTGTACTCGTGTCTGAAGAGGAAATAAAAAAAGGGTTTCTATGCTGTGCAAGAGATTTTCATACTGCCATCGCTCAAGCATAGATAAATGCATTATTCACGTGTTCTTGCACCACAGGAACCATGGGAAAGCAGAACAGCAAGCTGACTCCTGAGGTGATGGAGGATCTGGTGAAGAGTACAGAGTTTAATGAACATGAGCTGAAGCAGTGGTACAAAGGCTTCCTGAAAGACTGCCCCACTGGCAGGCTGAATCTGGATGAGTTCCAGCAGCTTTATGTCAAGGTTTGTGCGTCTCTCTTCTGAGTTTTAATCACTGCCACGGCTATTCACACGTCATAAAAACTGGTGTTTTAAATGCTTTTTAAAGCCCTGGTTGAATTATCGAACACATCTCTCCCACGTTTGCAGTTCTTCCCTTATGGCGACGCATCCAAATTTGCACAACACGCCTTCAGAACCTTTGACAAAAACGGAGACGGGACCATTGATTTCCGAGAGTTCATCTGTGCTCTGTCCATCACATCCCGTGGCAGCTTTGAGCAGAAACTCAACTGGGCCTTCAACATGTATGACCTGGATGGTGACGGCAAAATCACTAGAGTGGAGATGCTGGAGATAATCGAGGTAAGGGATTATCGAGTCATTAAGCCCTCGCTCATCAGGGGACTGGCTCTGTTTTTCCGTTGTTATCAGTCTCCTGCACACCTGCAATGCCTTGACTACAGAGGCGGTGTCATAGCGACAAAACTGCAGTTTTGTGAATTACATTGTGCCATTTCTGGAAACAAAATCATATAGTAAATCTGATATGTCTCAGTGATATTAGAGCATATTGACAATTCCTGTAGTGATAAATGTGTGTCCGAAGCATCTCAGTGGTTCCCAACCTTTTTTTGGTTTGACTCTCTAACTCAAGCGCCCTTTCATTGGCACAATCCCTCATTTTCTCATAAAGGGATTATAAACTAGGTGTTATTTAACTGGAATATTTATATAAAAGTGCTGTTGTTTTTTCACATAGGCTACAAGTGAATTGTCAATGGTTGCTTTGGTCAAGTAAACTGGGTGTATCAAAGATTTAGCCTTTACTGTTGGCTATTTCAACTGTTTATTCTTTACTTTTAGCTAGTAATTTCAAACTTTATCCATTAATTTCAACTAACAATGTCAACAGTTTAGTTAAGAATTTAAATTATCTGCTTTAACTATGTAAATGTATACACATTTTTGCATTAAAATGCATTAAAATCTCTAAAAACAACTAGACCTATATTATTTTCTCAAGTTGTGTAGTTACAGTATCCCAATTGTTTCCAACAATTTACTCAGGATAACACCTGGCATTATCCCCTTCACCCCCTCTAGCTGCTATGTGTTTTTAATGTGTTTAGTCAGCGGTTAACTGACTGGTTGATGGGCAGCTTACATTACTGTACCATTACCATTAGCATCACACCAATTTATTATATATATATATATATTCCTATCCTTGTTTTAGGTTGTTTAATTTAGTTGAATTAATTATTTTAGCATCCACACAAGTGCCCTCTATGTTACAAGTACCCCTGGTTGGAGATCTACACCTCTATGAAAAAATGAGCGCATGTAGGCTTCACTGTATTACATAATAAACAATCCTCAGCTAATTTCTCACTGTGTCTCACCCACAGGCGATCTACAAAATGGTGGGCACTGTGATCATGATGAAAATGAACGAGGATGGTTTGACACCAGAGCAGAGGGTGGACAAGATCTTCAGCAAAATGGATAAGAACAACGACGACCAGATCTCGTTGGACGAGTTCAAAGAGGCGGCGAAGAGCGACCCGTCCATCGTGCTCCTGTTGCAGTGTGACATGCAGAAGTGAGCACTCCCTGCTCGCTCCTCTCCCTGTCTGTAATCCACACACTCTGGACAGCAGCACATGTTTTAATGTCTCATTAGGTTCTCTGCCATTTCCACAGGAAAAAAAACAATGCTTGGACTATTTTTCAATGGACTCGCTTCTTGTGGTTGTATGCATGAGAATGTCAAATGCTGAATAATTTTGAATATAGCTATAAGATATCATACATTTCTATTTCAAAACATGCCAATGTGATTTGTGCACAGTAACCCTATACATTCTCATTCAACCCTAGCTTGTATATCAGTGGAGCACTGCATTAAATTATGTTCCTGCAGTATTTAGGATCCCCAGTGTTGACTGCTGCAACTACTGTACGCTTTACATAATAGTAACAAAACAATAATTCCTATGATAATTGTAACTGTCTCTACTATCCAGACTTGTTGAGCTCTTGGAGAATAGAGAGGCTCCTGTCTGTTCCAGATGTTTTCACATGATGGAACCAAGAAGAGTAGGTTCTTTGCATGCATATATTATGTGTCAAAAAAATATAATCTCTTACCTTTTGCATCTTTAGGTGGTTATAAAAGAGAAAACCTCCGGAAATTCATTTAGTATTGTTGCATGGGATGTACAGTATGTGATTCATCAGACTTTCATTACTTCACCTCCAGTAATGTGGGAGCATGCTTCCCTACATTTGACACACGTGTATGTGCGACACTTGAGTTTTTGAAAGATATTTGGCTTGCAGTTGTGGGATAATCTCAGAGGAAGAGCTTTCACATAAACATTGTATTATGTTTTGCTTCAGTGACTTCTGGGATGAGCAGAAATATATTTATGGAGCAGCATTCCTTTTATGAATTTATTGTACTGCTGCCGCTTAATCTAGAAGAAAGGCCTAAATTACCGCTGTCAGTAGGCACAGTACTCATGCATTATTCCCCCACAAGGATCCAAAATTGGCTTCTTTTTCAGGCTGCTTAAGCAATTTAGACTTAAACAACTTAACTCAGTACATATCAACATGTTTACAGAAAGGAAGAGCACTGCAAACTGAGTACAGTTTTGGCTTTTGACCTTATTGCTGGGAGCTCACTCTCTGGGCCGGGGACCTTGTAAGAGGGGCTCCACTTCCAATGCAGCAAAAAAAGGGGGTGGGGAAAGCCTCATATATGTTTACTGGACACACTGCATTCCTACTTATAAAACTTTTTTGTAAGGAGAAACTTTTTATTGAAAGGTCTCATCTTCTAAACTATTCTGTTTGCAACAATCATTAAAGATGCAGGACCCTCAAGAGAGGTGCTTAACAAAGCTTTTGAAAGAGCGTTTCAGAGCGTGTGAGACGGCAGCTGGATGACGATGTGGGTTCAAGCGAGTGCAGAAATTCTCTTTCAACAGTTTTGCTTCCCCATTTCTAGGCTATGCAAGCAAGGACTGAGTGTCTGCTTGTAGTCCACTTACAGTAGTGGAGGTTGCAGAAGCTTTTCACTGTTCTGTCTATAACATAATTGAAACCAACCCTCACATTAGTAATGTCTATCTTATTTACACATTTCAGTCCAGTCACTACGTCAGATTCTTTGTCTAGTAAATGTTTATATCAAATATGAAAAATCATAATACAAGTGACTGTATTCTTTTATACATGTGGCATGTGTTGCACCCAAAAATAATTCTGTAGTGATTAAAATGAATAAACCATCACAAGGCTTTTTCAAAAGACACAATCTATCAGGTGTTATTAATGGAACACGTGAGTGGATATGATGGAAAGTATGACGGATACAAAGGTGTTTAGATTATCCAGAAAGTTTATTGTAACAAGGATGATGATTTTTGACAGCAATTACAGTTAACTAAGGCTAGATGAGCATTTTAAGAGAGCAATGTTTATGTCAGTATTTTGTTTTAGTTTTTTTTGTTGCTTTTATTAGACTGTAGCAGTTGAAGAGTGAAGGAAGGTGTAGAGAGAGAGAGAGAGAGAGAGAGAGAGTGAATGAAATGCAGAAAGGGCCACATGTTTGAATTGAACTAGGGGCGCTGCGATAAAGACTCAGTCTTTGTACATGGGGCACATGTTTTAGCAGGTGAGCTACCAGGGCGCCACTTTAATCAACTTTAATCAGTAATTAAAGGTCCAGTGTGGAGGATTTAGTGGCATTTATTGCAGATCTATAATTGCAGATCTCATCTCTGTTGTTTCACCCTCCGTTTCTAAGCTTAAAGAAACTACGATGGCTGTAAAATGTGCAAAAAATAGGCGAACACCCCTATTTAAAGCCGGTCTGTTCCTTCTGGGCTGCTGTAGAAACATAGCGGCCTCCACAGGAGGTGACCCCGGTGTCTGTAGATATAAACAGCTAATTTTCACAAGGTAACAAAAACACAACAATTCCTAAATTCAGCTGATTATAAACTAATGAAACTATGAATATTATTCTATTTTTGCCAACAGAGCCTCCTAAATGTTACACACTGGACCTTTAAAACAAACTTCACAAACACAATTTACAATTTTCCTGTAAAACTATTAATACTGAGAGGTTGGATAGACTCCTGCGTTCACAGAGTAAAAATGTTTCTCTGTGGTACCAGACTCTTGAGGTAAAACTAATACAAAAACAGTAAACTGTAAGAAAACAATTTTTAAAACACATTAAAAGTAAATTCATATAATCAGTTCCAACAGTCAAAATATAACTATGTCAATTTGCCACATAAAAAACAAACAAAATAGAAAATAGAAAGTAGCTCTGTGATCCATTCTGTGTTAGAATACTGGAAACAGTATTTCATGAGAACATATAAAATGTAAAATGTCAGTACCAGACATCCCACCATCATAACACTACAATTTTAACACCTGCACGACTTCTGACACACAACACCAACACTTCTGTTTTGTTTTGAGCGTCTGCATTATTCCTCTAAATAAATAGTTGAATGACTCGGTAGAGATTTGCTTTCTTTGGCAAGAATCGGACCTTCCCTGTTACAGTACATCCTCTTTCACCACCTGGACACACGCAGAGCTCTTCACTTTGCTACAAACAGAAAAGAATCTCAGTTACTGAGATGCCCAAAATGTTTATGATAGATGATAAATATTCAGAATACTAATATTAAGAATAAGGGCCTAGAGTCAGACTCCTAGAAACAGTATTGTTGTTTACACCCAAAGAGACCAAAAAAAAGGTTCATCTGACATACTAAAAAACAAAACATGTCAGAGTGGAAAAAACAACAATAAAATGTTAACAGAATAAGTTAACACACCTCTGTGTCCTGGTGACATAAAGCGCAATAACACAATTCTTATTATTTACACAGTGTTTCATAAAACAGCCGTGAAACAGCAAACACATGTGAAATGTCGTTTTCAAGCAGCGACACATAAACTTACAGCGACATAAACCAGTGGTTCCCAACCCTTTTTTCCTTAAGGGACTCCCTTTTTCTATCATTTAGTAAACTGACGACTTAATAGGTGACATATTTTATGGATATTTCATATTATATTCAAAACTGTACAACGAACAGTGGACTGCAATAAGTTTGTGTAAAAGGAGTGATTTGAATGAATTTGGAGCAGATTATTTCCTGTGTCTCTCTGTATTATGTATTAATAATTTTTAAAAATCATACATCAGTGTTTTCTTGTCCTTGGCGCTTGACCATTGTCCTATTAGACAATTTACTTTACATTTACTTTTCTTGAGTTACAGCCACTGTGGTTATAAATAGTATTACTATTATAATATTATATATATATATATATATATAGCTTTCTAGCTCGCCTTAAAATCAGGAAGGCTTTACGACCCCTTATGAAGCTTTTAGCGACCCCCACTGGGCGTCCCAACCCCCAAGTTGTGAACCACTAACATAAACATTCCTGATGTTTCTGCCACTGGAGTTCAGTTCAAACATCTACGTCCGCTGTTTCACTTTGGAATCTTTCCGGATCCTGAAGCTGGTGGATTTTGATGAGGCTGGATTTGGGAAGATTTCTAAAAGACAAACCACGATTAACATCTGGTCAAAGAATAAAGTCTATATAAAAGCAACAGGAATTCAAAGTATGCAGCTGCAGCATGGCGCGGTAATGATTAAAGCATTATTATTTAAATTATGCAATTAAATCTATTAGTAAAGGACTAATAGCAATTTAATAAATTATATATTTTATGTGATTTTAATCATTTATAAAATTGTATATAATGTATAATGGTAGAAACAAATAGTTTATAACTTAAAACCGGTTTAAAATAATGTCCACACACCCCCATTAATGACTAACCACTATATTAAGTATGATAAGGAAAAGTCTCACACAATCTTTTCTTTTAGAGGTGAAAACACAAAAAACTGCTGCAAACAAAATCAAAATTTGGTTAGATATTGATTTAACATGCCTTAATTTGTAAGTAAATTGTGTGTTTCCTGGAGAATAAAATAAGCAACCCCTCGTGACTAATAACTAAAAAAAGGATGGTAAGAAAACCTTTTGCTGCTATAGCGTCATACTTTGACTAATTCGAAATTAAATGGTTTTGTGCAGTAAAGGAATTTTAAAAATCCCACCGTGGATATTAGTGGGTTAATAAATAATTGCTTCATAAATCATTGTACAGTATCAGTTGAGTAATGCACTACAATTAACCACTTTAAAAAAAATGTGCACAGTAATTCATCTGATGGCACACTTTAGCCTCCATACAGGAAACAAAGGATGAAAAAGTTATGTCAAATGTAAAAGTAAATTAAGGACAGCATGTAAACAGGGACAAACATTAAGAAGAGCGTCACCTGGTGGTAAGGGGCGTAATGAAGACAAACTGTCGAAGGTGCTGCCGCTCCGACAGCTCCAGGAGGAGATCCAGGGAGATTCTGCGATTGTGCATATCCTACGTAAAAAGCAGAAAGTGAGTCAAAGTCAAACTTACATTACTCATTTAATCCAAATTGTGCTCGTGAAATCACACAGTGTGTGTTTCTGTGCGCTCACCATGTAGACGTCGAACTCATCGAGGCATCTGAAGGGTGATTCTGTGATCTCCCACAGCGAGAGCATGAAGCAAACGGTGGAGAAGGAGCGTTCACCACCAGACAACGACCTCATGTCACTCACGCCATCATCCTCCCTGCCTGGAGGCTTCACCTTCACCAGAAAAGATTTGTGTTTTACTTTTGAGTTTCCATAATTAAAAAAAAGGCTAGTGCCTGTAGCAGCTTCCAGAGTTTTAGGAAAGTATGGGAGAGAGAAAAGGGATGACGTGCACATGATAAGCATCGTGGTCCCCAGGACACTTACTTACTTTAAAATAAAGTGTATTTAGGTCATTAGTTGTAAGAATTTTCCAATGTCTTTATATTGTATTGTTTCTTCAATATGATGTGATTTGGTATAACTGTGTATTCCAATTAAATATCTCATTAATTCTGTTTCCATTATTAAACAACCACGCCACGCAATAAATTCTGCAAAACAAACAAAGGAACAAACTTTCTAAATATTATATTTTGAAAAACCAGACTTACCGAGATTGAGAGCGTCTCATTGTTGTGATCAAAAACCATAGAGCCACAGCAGTTCATCTTTATCAGGAAGTTATTGAAGTATAGCTTGCATCTGACAGAGAGGGACCTTCAGGAAGAAGAAACAATCAGAGAAAAACTTTCCACTGCCAGTAAAACACCATAATTATGTATTTCTGAATTGTTGAATTGTCTGAATTAGTAGAGCGTTATTTACCTACGCATTACTTTGTATCTGTTCTGCCTGTCTGACATGATGTTATCGAGTCGATCGATGAACCTCCGCAGGTCTCTCACTTGGTTGGTTTTCTGTCTGTAAAGCGCGAGGGCCTCGGCGTACTCCCTAATGAGGACACAGGACGGAAAACGGCGTAGCCTAAATTTTTCTTATTCCAGAATAAGGCCAGAAGATGATTTAGTGATGGCCGACGGGCAGATTGGATTGAAGTATACAGTAAAAAAAAAAAACTGTCAGTGGCAGAAGAAATCTCACTGGATGAGTTAAACCTCAGTGGGAAGAAACACATTTTTGTCTGATTTGATTACTGAAGCTGAAATCCAGTGAAGTGAGCCTCTTTTATATCTTTAAACTAAAAAAAAAACTAGCAGTAATTATTTTAACTGGCCTGAAGTGTTCAGGTCCTTTATTTAAGTAAAAGTAGCTTTTCCACACTGTAAAAATGCTGCATTGCAAATAAAAGTCAAGCATTGAAAATATTACTTAAATGCACACATATCATCAGCAAAATGTTCTTTAAGTATCAAAAGTATATATACTATATAATTATATTTACATTTCTGGTGCATTAATGTGTAATTTTACTGTTGTAGTTGGTTGAGGTGGAGCCAATATTGATTTTATAGACTGTTGGGTAATTTTATCAATAACAATACATCACATTTTGAATTCATTGTATGTTTTGTATGTAAATAAGTAAAGTTTATGATTTCAGCCCTCACAAAATGTAACACAGTAAAAAGTACATTACTATTAGTAAGGAGTAAAAGTATTAATATTTTTTAATTTATTAATACAAGAGGCAAATTCCTTGTATGTGTAATAATATATATATATATATATATATATATATATATATATATAAATATAAAATAGCACAAAATGGAAAAACTAAAGTAAAATACAAGTACCTTAAACTTGTAGTAAGTATTTTATGTATGCATTAATATATTTAATGATATATTTAATGTTTAATTTGCAGTCAGCCAAATTTCTCAAGGTAAACTGTGGCACTGAGGTTCAACCATTAAAATTAGCCTCTGGGAAATGTTTTGCACAAACAAGATCTTTCTTTGTAACAGTGAAGTAAAACAACGTCCGAGATGTCTTTAGAAAGCTGGCGATTTCTCACCTGACCACCTGCTCCTGCTCGCCGTGGCTGCTCTCGTACACCTTGAGCTTCTTTTTCAGTCGAGTGATTTCCGTGTCGATGCTCTTGGTGCTGCCGGTCACCTGCTGCCGCTCAGGGCTGATCTCTGTGGCTTTGGTCACATATTCCTGTCATCAAATATGAAGTCTGACGATATGAATTTTGCCGGAGACAGCTACAGTAGCCTGGATGCAGCAAATCATCTCTTTGGATGGGTTTAATAACTGCTGTTTACCTGTATAGCTCAGTATAGTTCAAGTGCAACAGCCAGGCTTAATGTACACATAGTGTCGCTAGAAAAAGCTCCAATATATGCAAATAAATAACTAAATGTTGAACAAATTGAGTACAGCTCCTCTTACCTGTAACTCATCTTCTCTTTGTGTGAGGTCACTTTTCATAGCTTGGATGTTGTCTTCATGAGCCTTCAGTTTGTTTTCTAAAATCTTGAGGTTTCGTTCATGTTTTGTGCACTCATTCTCCAGCTTCAGCTGCTCGTCCTTTGGGGTCAACAAACAATAATAATCAATTTCACTATCAATACTTCTAGAGGTTCCCACCTGGGGAAGGGATCCAGTTTCTATCATTTAGTAAACTGACTAAGTGAAATATTTGATGGATATTTCATATTATATTCAAAACTGTTCAATAAACCCAATAGTGAACTCAGTAAATGCAAGAAGTTTATATAAAACGAGTGATTTAGATACATTTTGAACAGATTATTTCCTGTTTCTCTGTCTGTAAATGTATCTTTTTAATCATTTTTAACAATCATACATACTTAATAGGCTTCTTACTTGACAAACCCAGTGTTTTCTTGTCCCTGGTGCTTGCCCATTATTCTATTAGACAATTTACTTTACTTCACAGAAGTGAACCAGATGCTGAGATATCGGCCTTCTATGTGTACTTAACCTCTTTCTTACACAACAGAAATATGCCTTGAACAGCATCTTTAGACTTGTGATTCAAAGTAACACAACAAAGCTCTACTGTACCTTTAACGGCTCCACGTCCTCAGGAAGCTGATCAATCCGCTCTCTAACAGACGAGTACTTGGACTCTACGTCCTCTAATAATTTCCGATGTTTGTCAAACTCTGCCTTTGCTTCGTGAACAGTCTCCTTTTCTGCATCGATTTTCTGTCTGTTCTCTTGGGCAACTTCCTCCTGCAAGAAGTATTTGAAGGCATTAGACTTACACAATCCCTGGTAGGATTCATGTCTATTTGGGTGCAAATAAAAACAAAAAAATGATCACCAAGGAGCTGATGTCATCGATTTGCTCCTCACCAGCGGTCTCAAGGTCAGTTATTGTTGCCTTAACTTGATTCACAGAGGCCTGCAGTGACAAACAAAGAAAACATGAAATTATTTCCAATTTTATCTTCAAAAACCTTGATTAATCACACTAGCAAAACAGCATTAATATGCTCAATCTTTCTCTCGCAGAAGGAAGCAGAGAGAAAGCAAGAACAGGAGCGATAGAGTGAAAATGACAAGACTGAGAAGAGAAGAGTGAAATATAAACTACACAGTTCTAAGTTACACCAGGTTCTTGTTCCTGGTTCACTGACCAGAGTCTTCTTCAGGGCCATGATGGTGCTGTTCAGCCTGCTCTCCATGCTCACGATTTCCTCAGACACAGAGGTCACATGGAGCTGAAACCTGGACAGCTGAGCCTGGAGATTCTCCAGGTCTGACTCCAACATACTGTGACAGGCAGGATCAATTTTTATCTCAAATCCAAAACACACAGTGAATTTACCACATTTCTTAAAAGAAACTGCTGGTACTAAAAGGTAAGAGTCACATTTCACCTCTTTTGAAAACTCCTAAACCCAACAGAACTCGCTTTGTGCAGTCGAGCACAACACAATCTCCATTTAACATAACAGTAGAGCCAGACTGCCTTTATAGTGAGTTTATGAGTTGGATCGAGAATTTCTATGTGGCTTGTGCACCGCTATGACTATGCGACACACTAATTTAACAAATACATCTTCAACCAATTCTCGTTGACATTGCTGAGAGCTGCAACTTCTCGCTTACTGTCACACTGTGTTGGACTGCTATGCTTTGCAGTGATGCCAATATATTACCACAAACATTTATTTCTGCATTATATACCGGAAAAAGGTTGTTTTCATATCAGTGCATATCGGATATCATATAAGCCGATACCATTATGATACTGATATGTCTGCAACAGGCCAGTATTGGCAAACAGATATCCTGGTTTGGCTGTACATAAGAAAGGGAAATCCAGCACACTGTACATAAAATATTGTTAATAAGATCATGGGGTTATTTCTTAATTTACGGAAATCGTAGATAAGAACATCAACACCACCAGTACGCTAAACATGAAGCTAGATCCAGCACCCGGTTAGCTTAGCTTAGCATGAAGACTAGAAACAGAGAGAAACAGATCGCTTGACTAAGATTAAATAAATGAGGTATGGTGGATGGATGCTGATTGTAGTCTCAAGTGGTATCAATCTTTTCATGTAGCGCACGAACGGGCACAAGTGTATTTTCCAAAATGCCTAAACTGGTCCTCAAAATAACATTTTTAATTGAAGGGAAAGGTCGATGGTTTAAAAATCAACCTTGCTGTCATTCAAAATCCACCTGCAGATAGTCTTTCATTGTTAAATCTAATCAACTTTCATTATTCTCTGGGCTGAAGGTGGTTTATTACGGATTAGATGTTTAATTTTTTGATGTGTTGACTCTCCTGTCTGCCTCTTTAGTTAATGAGTCTATAGTTTTGACAGGATGAAGCACCGTCTGGCTGACAGAATCTGCTCTTAAAATCCAGGTCACTGCCAGCAGCTGGTTCAAACTTGTATTTTAGGCTGAATTTTTTTTCCTTCCCTAAAACTGTAATTAAATATATATTTGGGTATTTTTCTCTTCTCCCTTTTACCACCTTATTTTTTTCATAAAAATAGCTTTGTTACCTTATTTCAGCCTCGAGATCCCCGCCAAGATATTTGGCCATGCTGAAGTCGGAGGTGTAATAACGGTTTGGATACACCTGATCTCCCTCATGAGTGAAAGCTTCACGGCAGTTTTTAGGTGGCCGTCCTTGCTGCATGATCTTCCTCGCCTTATCTTTTTCCTTTTATAAAACACAGATCAGATGGTGATCAGACGGGGATCAATCCTCAAATGATTTAACATGCAAATACTCAGCATCAACATGCATTGACATACTAACTCTGATTATCAGAATTGATTCTATCCCCCTCATATCGATCAGGCAGTTGATGATAACTGGGTTTGATGCTATGATTGTGTCCAGCACAGATGGGTATTCTGGATGATATGCTTTCCTACAGAAAAAAAACAAAATATAGCTTTAAAATGTGTCGAAAAGAAAGGTCAACAAATGTGAAAAAGAAAAAAAATGCTGCCGCTGCTGACCGTCCATGTATGTTGTAAACTTTTTCAGAGAAAGGGCTGACGATGATCTGCGGCCTGGTGCCCTTTGGGTAATAGCGAGCCATCAGCTCCTGGAGGACCGTCTCGTCCTTGTAGTTGTCACAGCAGAAAGCCTTCATGAAGCTCCGCAGACAGCACTCCACGGCCACAGCCAGCGTGGGATCCTTCAAACTGATACACGCCCCTGAGAGTAAACACAGACCGTCAACTACCATATGTACAATTTAATTAAAGGTTTTGCAGCAAATGTATGAACTGAAATTTGACATTTTGGGGAATGCATGTTATCTTGACCCATCTATGACCTAGCCATATCTCAGCCAACTGTAAGACCATAACAGGCCCTATTTTGGCTCCATGTTGGACCAGACACTATTCAGGCCTAGTGTTTAGTGTTTGGCTGAATTTACTCATTTGACTATATGTCTACACATTACTACACATGCAACACTGGCAGGGGAAGAGAGGAAGAAACATTGTCTGACTAATGACATTTTACAGTTTTGTTAATGGCGTGCTGTGAAAAAATCAATAAACAGTTAGTAAAAAGTCACCTATTGGACCGACTGGTCTCTTGAGGAAGCGTCCTGTGGCGTACGCCTCAGCAATCGAATCCAGAAGGTCGGGTACATGATCTCCAAACCGCTTTAGCTTGTTTGATCGACTGGCAAAGAGCTGATTCTTCCTCTTCAGTTTGGACGCATACAAAACCTGGATGTTTCTTTCCTCCAGCCTAATCAACAGAAACAGAGCTCGATCAGGGAATGTCACTGGAATGCAGATAAACTGGGCTCTTACTCAAATCACAGTCACACGAACACGTGTACCTCAGCTTGTCCCGTTCTTCCCTGCCTTTGAAAAGTGCCTGATGTTTGTTCTTGATCTCTTGGTTCAGCTGTGAGCAGGTTTTGTCAAGCTCTGCAAGCTGCTCTTTCAGACTGGATATTTTCTTCTGTTGTTTCATGAATTCTGTCTCTCCATCATTGTTCAGAATCACACTAAAATACAGTGAAAGAAGATACATGAATGCATGTATTTGTATGAAGGGTAAAGACATTCAGAGATTGTTTGACCTTTCTACTTCCCCTACCTTGTTTTTGCCTTGTTAATTTTCTCCTGGAGAAGGTTTTGTTCCTGCTCTGACTGTTTGAGCTTGTTCAGAGCCCGGAAGTAAACAAGCTGTGGGAAAAGATTATGTCACTTTGACTGATATAAATGATTTATATTTTTGAATTTTAAAAAGAGCAGCTTTGCACAGACACAGAACCATCAGTACCTCCTGTTCCTTGTGAGCTTTGCTAATGGTCTTCACTTGCTCTTTTAACTTGACGCTGTCCTGCGATAGAGACTCTTGTTCCTCTTTCAGACTGTCAACTCTGCTTTTGATGCACTGGAGCTTATTTTCCACTTGTGTGACTCTAGTCTGTGTGATAGATTAGAGAAAGAGTGAAAGTTCCTTTAAAGACAACATCTGCAAACTAGTGCTAGTAGTTGTTTTTTTTTACCGGTAGAGGACATCTACTGTAAACATTATAATGCAGCATGTGAATTAAGGGCAGTCGGTTTATACATTAGTAAAAGTTTGAAGGGCTCTAACTTTTATAAATAGACTTGTATATATTATAGAGAATAGAAACACTTATGACTCACCTGACACAGCTGAAGGTTGTCCTGATGTTTGTAGTTATTCTCTTCCTTTTCAATGTCCTCCTTCAGTTGCTGTACGAACTGTTCCTTCTCTCTGACCTGAGAGTCATTAAATAAAATTATCATAATTCATCTTCTTCAAAATAATGAAAAGGAAATATTGGGCAATGTATTCTTTCACTTTGCCTTTTCATACTCCCTAAACACTCTTCAGAATGTATAATAAACTATAGAAAGAAAAAGAAAATAGAGGAAATGTATGTGTTTTATACAATGACGTCAGATAAACTCTTACCAAACACCATGCCATTGCTTTCTTCAGATTCTCCAAAACCACCTTCATCTCACTGAAGGACGACAAATTCTCATACCTCTCTTTCTTCTGTAGAAACTCTTGTTTCAGGTCCTTGAGAGACTGAACACAGAGAGCTTAAATCAATACATTTTCTTTTAGCAAAAGAATGTATTGAAATTACACATATCAACAGCAGGGAAGCAAGTAAACCTTTATCTGTGTAGCAAACAAAACCAAGAGAGAACCAAAGAAAGAGAGGGTTTTGAAACGTTTGGAAAGTGGAAAATCGAAAGTATATTCACTCAAGTTCTAAACTTATGTACACGTTTTAGATACTTGTATTTTATACTTCTGCTCCACTAGATCTCAGAGGCAAATATTGTACACATATTTGCACATAAAAACATGGTGGAAATCTACTGCACTTCCACTGTGTTTAATTAATAAATACCATAAACTAAATACATATTACTATTTTAAAAGCTCACTAAAATGTCCTGTTCAAGATGGTTTTAGGTTTGTGTGCTGGATACTGTACCTCCTCCTGCCTCTCAACCTGCTGTCTGGTGACTGTTTTGGTGTGCTTGATGTGGATGTAATCCCTCTTCATCTGTTCCAGCAGAGTTGCCTTCATGAAGAACTGTGAAAGAAGCCAAAAAATATTATATTAGCTTTGCATAAGACATACGTAATCTTAAAATTTAAAGCTCATAAGGAATATTTGCTGTACCTTATACTTGTCCGATTCACTTTTTGAATGCAGGAACTGTTTACTCATTTCTTGGTTGAGAATGGACACTGGGTTATCCAACTGGAATACACAAAACAAATGTGCCGCTGAGGCTTTCAGGTATGATTATGTTGCAGTAAGCAGGATGTGTTTGCAACAAGCAAATATGAACTACAATTATGTAAATCAATAAATCAATAAAGTAAGTGAAAGTACCTGGATGTTGAAGTGGTCCAAAATGGCCGTCAACTCCTCCTTCTTGGTTGAGATAAGTTGTCCTAAAATGCAAGAGAGACGTGGTTAATTTTTCAGTTAAAATTAAAAATGTTCTTTGGTTCTAGCTTCTCACATGTGAGGATTTAAAGCGTTTCTTGGTCGTGTCTAACAAACCGAATCTGACCGTAGCGGCCACCATGGTTTCTCCTACACACGTCACAGCCTGGCGCACTGGTGCAAAGCAGTTCAACTTCCTTTTATTTACAAAATAACTCAGTGACATTTACAACTGAAAAACATCAGTCCACCTGTGAATGTAAATATGTCTCATTTTTACATTCACACTAGGACGGATGGTACAAAACAGTGAAACAGTGCCTCGGACATAAAATGCACGCGTGGGAGTTTATAGAGGAACATTCCTGAAAGAGAGAAAAATGTATACAGCTCCGAGGGATCCTTGACGTGCTTTGTCTTCACTCCCAAGTGTGTTTGGTTTATCTGACATTTAGGGAAGGTTTAATAAGGCTTGGGCACATCTGTAACTCAGGAAAAAAAATACCTGACTTGCTCCTCAGCCTGCAGGTCCGACATCCATCACAAGAGATCCGGTGCTCAATTGAGATGCATTCGCCGTAGACGTCCCTTTTATAAGCATCTGGTCCTCTGTTTCTCAGCCTTATTGTTATATCTGCAGTACTAAAAGAGCAGATTATACTGTAATGGCATTGTATGACAAGTGCCCCCACTGGTAAGTAGACAAAATGACAGCCTTTCCAACAACATAATACTCACACTGAGTGATGAGACTTACTTTTCACCCGTCTTCACAAAATCCTTCAACGACACTCCTCTGTTTGTGAAAGTGGCCTTTCCACCGAGGCCCACAATCAAAGCAGTCAGGATTGCGCTCTTTCCACCTGGGAATTAAATTGGAAACAACATAAACAAGGATTTGAATCACTGCATGAAGAGGATACCACTACCAGGAAGCAGGCTGTGAGTTTAAGCCTGTCGCTGGTTGGCTATGTCAGTTACAGCACTAATTTGCAAGTGCATCCAGGGATTAATGCTGCACAAGAGGACTGCAGTTCTTTAAACCAATCACAAAGAAGTCAGTGTTTTTCTTCCCTGTAACAGTATGATGATGAGTTCAGACATTTTCTCCGCCGATGGCATACAATAAAACAAACAGATCCAGCCTGGCAACACGAGAGTGGGACAACACGGACATCACCGGCTCACAGGCAGAACTTAAGACCTTATGCAAATAAATACAAATGACTCCACCAAAGATATTATGACAGACATGTCTGAGCAAACAAATTTTAGTTTAGAGTTAAATGGTTTCTTTTGCTAAATGTTAAACCGCCTTAATTTATTTCTCAGTGTTATTTTGCCTCCATGGACGCATCTTTAAATATCTAACGTCTATTACAAAACAAAGCATGTCTGTGGATATTACTCTGATGGAACAGATATGACTTCCTTTTTCTCTTAAAAATACCATAAAAACGTCTTATATCTTATAATCTACCAAGAGGGGACAACCCTAATTAGGTGGGATTAGAGCTGATTCACTGGTTAGTGCATTGATAGAAATAAAAATGCAACTATTTTAATAATCGGCCGTCATTTTTCAACCAAAAACAAAAACAAATGTCCCCAGTTCCAGCTTTTACATTTTCAGGTTTTTTTTTACGTTTTGGTTTTGCTTTTTTTAAAATTATTATTATGTTTTGGGGCGTTTTAATACCTTTATTAAATAGGGATTGGAAAGGGAGGGAAATAAGCATTTTTTTCCTTTTTTTTGACATTTTACAGACCAAACGCTTAATTAAGATGAACTGATAATGAAAATAGTCATAGTTGGATAGTGAATTGACAGTTGACACAGTAATAATTTGTATATAATGTGATTTTCTTGGTGTGCTCTGTACACTCAACATCCGTTGCACGGATCTCTCCTCTGTGTCTCTTCCTGAGGTTATAAAAGGTTCTTTTTCGGAAACAGATTGTAAACGCTGAGGCAAATTGTGATTATGAGCTATATAATAAAACAATATGAACTGACTAAAAACACACAAGAAACACAGTCAACAGGAGATTTAAAAAAAGCTTGGTCCTTACTCCCATTGTTGCCGACGATGAAATTCACATTGGGCCCAAACTGGAAGGGACCGAGCAAATGGTGACACATGAAATTCTTCAGAGTGACGCTTTCAATGAGGCCGATATCTCCCTGGAAATACACACAGGAGACAATATTCAGCTGTTAATGAGCTGATGGGAAGCAAAGACACAGAGTTAGTGCTTGATGGGGGAATTACTCACGGTGGCAGAGTGAGCGCCGCTGGACGACGGTCTCTGATGGTTCGTGTCGTCTGGTGCATCTTCGATACCCACAGCTGTCACTCTGCGGCTCTTGACAGCTGTCGCATCACTGATCACTTTGCCTTTCCTCTTACTCATTTCGAAAAACAAGTCACTGGAAATAGAATTAAGAGTAAAAACACTAATATCTGTACTCTGTTACTTCTTCATCTTAAGACTCAAGACTCTTTAGGTTAGTCTGGAGTTTAAAGTCAGGTTTTACTCCATCTGTAGGTTTTTACTGATCAGTCTGTAGGGGTTTAACTGATTACAGATCTGTTCTTGGTGCACATTTGTGATGTTTTATGTGTTTTGTGTTGCACTGAGGAAAAATACGACCAAAAAAACCAAAAAAAAAACCACACATTTGGTGTGATCAGCTGTTACTTATGTCAATCACCCCGTGCCCTGAACAAGTTCTTCAAGTTCCTCCTTTGCATAAACTGAGTTTTGCTATTTTGAGACGTGCAGAAATGTGACGTCAGACACAAATGCAGGGGCAATATTTGAAGACGGCGAGTAGCTCTAAACAATGCAATTGCAAACACTGGTTTCAAAGAGTGAGCATGTAGGAGAAAAGAAATGTGAGGCTTTTTTCTTCAAGTCAGGAAGCCACGTACTGAAACCAGCAGCAACAGCAGGTGTTATTGTGTAACACAGCCCTGCAGATTCACATTTTACTGCAGCTTCTCTGCTTCCTAATGTTTCCTCACTGTTTCACACTGAGATTAAGATTCATTAGGCCTCGATAAATCTCTTTTAAAAACGTCTTGTGCTCTAATTTACTACTCTAAAGTCAAACAAGTTCTGGCATATCTAGAAGGTATTCAAAGTCAGCTGAACAGGCTGAGTTTTCCCCATTTTGTAAGACAACACATCAAAGTCCAGTGTTGCCCTTTGACTTAACTGTTACAGCCACTGAGGCAGCAACAGGTGACTGCAAAACACTTTTTAAAAAAAATAAAAACTTGCGGTAAACTTTAGCTTTTCTGGATCACAAACAAATTATGACAAGCTGGTTATAAACTTCGCCTACCATTGTGCGATTGCCTGTGTGTGCAGCCTGCAAAAATAACATGGTCATGAGGAGACGGTGGATCGTTTTGAGACTTCCTGGTCGGAGTGCACTGAGCTGCAGCTGCAGTGACAGTTGAGGGTGTCACTTCACTTACAAACACGGAACCGAGAGCGTGAAGCGTGATTGGCTCAGCGCTTACCTGTGTGCGTGCGCGTGCGCGTGCGCACAACTAAACCTCCCGTGTTGTGGAAATTGCGGGGGGGGGAGGCAACGAGGTAAACTTTTAATCAGCCATTAAAATCGTGCAGCATTTGGAATTTACGCCCATGTGCGCAGAACTAAATGAAAAACAGCCTGCTTTATATGGTGCGTGTATTATTGGAGGTGTTTCTAATCACCCACAGGTATGTGCATGCAATCAATACCTTTAAAACCCCATGTGAGTGCCGCCCCCAGCCACGCAGCCCCCCCTGCCACTGATGCAGTGGTGGATGAGTCGCTTGCACCAAAACGCGCGTGAGAAAATGCGACTTGTGTGAGTATTTCTAAGCAGCTTGGCTGTGTGTTAATGGTGCTTTTGATGAAAGGGGTTTTACCCTAACACACCCTTGAAAGGCGACGTGAAGCGGCCGTCTTGGATAGTGGGAACGTCCACGCACGTTGCCAGGAGCAACCGCACATTTACCCCTGGTGGAATAATGGCATATTTGTTGTGGCTGGCATAAATAACCCATAATGCTGAGGTTAGAGCAAATTAAATCGGCCACATCATCCAAACTGCCTCGCTGCGGACGCCAACTTGTATTCCCCAGAGTCGAAGTCAATGCTCCCGCCTACTCTGGCCTCTGATTGGCCTGCGTACTCGTCGTTCGCGTTCATGCGTGAAGAGTGGATTGGGGGTTGGGGAGTCAGTTAGGTTGGTCAGTGTAGCCAATCAGGAGGCAGGAGGGGAGGGGCGCGTTCATACCTTATGGAAAATGAATAAGAAAATAGCCTGATGCAAAGCCACTGCAGCGGTCCAAATTCTTTGTTGAAATACAACAAATTTACTAAAAACCAGTGGGGAGCAAAAAATATCAACATGTGGTTTTAACAATTTGCCAGTTTGCGGCCAAGGGACGAAATTTTGATTTCAGAGGTGGGGGCCACAAGTATTTTTTAATAAAACTCTTAACTTCTTTTTAGTTCACTTGTGTTTCTAGTAGTTCTTTCTAGTCTTTCATTATCTAGTTGCTGTTTCCCCTTTTTTTTGTTTGAGCTGGGTGTTAAAGCCATGTAGCAAAATCATTATCACCCAATTGATTGAGAGAGGATCTTGAAAGTGCGAGTATTGCTGCCTTTATTGAGCCGGGTGAAGGTGTTGCGAGGATGGGTGTAACGCATTTCTTTGGGAGTAACTTACCACTTTGACTTTCTAAAGAAGGTCTTTAGTCCACTTTTCTTTTCTTAGAATCCTGGCTGCCCGCGCCATCTTAGCCAAACAGCACACACACACGCACGCACACACGCACGGCACATACGCACATCCGCACAATGCGCACACCAATTCAAACGCTTAATGTATGTGTTTCCCATTTTCATGCCCTGTATTTTTTCTGCAGTAAAGAAGCAAACTAGCTTAAAATTCCAGGGGTTGGGGATGGGTTAACTTTAAGAAATGCTAATACCCGAGGTAGTTAAATTACCCGGCTAAAAAATATAGTAAGTAACCTAATCCAATATCAGAGCTATTAAAAGTAACGAAACTTGATTACTTTCCGTTTAGGGTGGCTGTTGTGTGGCTGTGTGTGTGGTTGCTGTATTAATATTGAAAATAAAAACAAGAACAAAAGAAAGTTTTTTTCTATAAGGACAACAGAACACTAAAAGTTGTCAATCCTTTTGGGTAAGAAATATATTTTTTGTAAAATGCAGACTCATAATTTACATTATTATTCTGTAACTGGATCATTATAGGTTAAACTTTTTTTTGTATCCTGATTACACCACTTTAAACAATGGTTCAGTGCTTGACTAGCGCATACAGATCACGCTGAATCGGATATGTGTCAACAAGCAAGCATTTCTCCGGTGTATTTGATCAGTTGTTTACCTGGTGAGCCACCATTTAACATAAAGGCTTACATTACAGTAATTCATTTTGATTTATCCAACATAGTTTGGGGCGATGCCTGAGATTGTAAGTTTTTTATGACACATATTGCCTTCTAACATTAAGTTGAAAATTACGGCTTCCATAAACTGTGAACATGGGTTGTGCATCTTCAGCAGCAGCAGCATGAACTTGTGGGATGGCCACCGAGCTTTTTAGGTGAATCTCATAATGCTTTTGGGTTCATGTTGAAGGCTCACAGGGGAAGCTGTTTTGATTTCTATTTTCTCTACGTATATATTTGCATCATTTTGTGAAGGTCTACTCGGGTGACCACTGCTCCTTTTTATGCAGATGCAGGATTTCCTGGCGGTTTTTGACATGGCTGTTCACATGGATTTCATTTGAGGTGTTTTCCTTTTTCTACCGTGATGCATTTGCAGTTTGTAACTGCGTCCACACCAATCTGTGACTACCGGGGCTTTTTTTTTTGCTACATATGAAATAAGGCAAATGTAATTTGGAATGCCTAATTAAACCTAGAAAAAAAACAACGTGTACAGTTTCTGTTATTTGACCACCCCAGCTTATATCATTGGAGACTGGTAAATAAACAAATACCTACCATACAATTACAAGCATTGCTTGTGGTTACTTCAAATTACCCTCTTTAGTTTTTTGAAAAAAAAAATTTCAGCCGGTAGAAGTATCTTTTTCAGGGAAAAACAAAGGCGCTTTTGCTTCTTCTGGACAAAGGATTTTTAATGAACCAGTTTGACGTGAAACATCACATTTTATTTCAACCCTTCTATGTGAAGAATAGCAGCATCATCAAAGGGCTCAGTAAATGCACTCTTCAAAAAAAAAGATTGTCGGTCACACTTTATAGACCTTCTTTTATAAAAGCTGTTTCCATTACTTCATGCCATTTACAGCTACCAATCTGGTGCTCACTTTTTAGAGGACCTTGTCGAATACTGCCTCACAGTACCTAATCTCATCCACAGCGTCACACATCTCGCTACCGATGTTATTCCTTTCTGAACAAAGTTGTTGGTTAGGGGTAGATTAAACCTTTAAAAAAGAGGGGGGGGTTTGGGGGGGCATAGAGAGGCAAAGTTCCTTCCCTTCCAGGTCCGGCCCATGGGCGGCTATTTCAGCGAAAAATATGTACTGTAATCAAAGTCGAAGGCCCAATCATTTTTTTTATGTTCCCATTTGCTTTGTCATTGAAATTACCCGATACAATGGTTGTGTCGGAATTTATTGATTTACCAGAAAAATGCCGGTTTTGTTCTAAAAAGGGCCAATATAAAGGGGGATATGTTTTTGGGGTTTAAAAATAATGTATGGCCTACCATTTAGTGGACCACAACTCTCTGTTCGTCAACACAAAACACAGCCACCGCCCACCACCACCAACGATGGTTGTCAGCACTCCACGTTGGTCTTCCGCAGAACAACAGCGGGACTAAGTTTAAGAGGTCAAAATCACCTCCACCTCTGCGCCCATGTTGTCCCAGAACGAACAGGCATCGTAGCATCAGCGCCTCTGGGTAGCTTGTGGAGTGTGAAACTTATGACGACACTTTAAGGACTTTTAGGTTTGTAGTCTCTCTAATAATGTATTTTACTTCCTGGCCCAATTCACAGACAGTAACTGAACTGTGAAATTCTTTAATTAGTGGCATTAGTGTTTTACAATAGTGGTTAAAAGGCAGTTTTCTGTTCAACATTAATACATTATTTTTTTCTGTTTTGCAGGTATATTTGACCTCTGAACTTTACAATGTGTTCAATCCCTGGGCTTCCAACACCAGGATCAGAAGTACCCGTTCTCATCACAAGAGCCAACCTAAACCCAGATTGTGGTCTTGTGGAACTATGGGTTAACATGGATGATGGAAGGAAGCATATTTATGAGCAGATGAGAGAGGACATTCAGATTCCTAAAAGGAAGTTTAATGGACCAGAAGGAAAACCAGGGGACCTCTGTCTGGTTTGCATCAGTGACACCTGGCACAGAGCTCGGATTGTATTGATTGAGAGTGAAACTTACAATGTTTTTCTAATTGACCAGGGACAGCCCCATAACACCACAAGTGAAGCTTTAGCATGGGGACAGAGCGACAGTTCCGTCGTTCCTCCTGAAACCGAATCATGCATACTCGCAAATGTCCTCTCCCTTGAGAATAAGTGGTCTGTAGCAGCCACAACGTTTTTGGTGTCTCTGCCTGGCAAGAAGTTTAAGGGACTGGTTCAACATGTGCTGATGCCTGACAGGATCATTCTCCTCGACATACCAATTGTTTCCAAGCACATATGTAAATGTGGAGTTGCAAAGAAGGTACCTGTGGATGAGTTCAAATGCCTTGTACAGAAATGTCTTAATTTACCCAAAGGAGAGGGTTATGAGTCCTACTGCATAACAAAGGAACAAAATCTGAATGTTGATTGCCAACTTGAGAAGCATGACCAATACTTTTACCCAGAACTATTAACTGCCAGTTTTGAAACTATTAACGTGACCGAGGTAAATAATCCACAGAAAATCTTTTGCACACTCCTAATTTTTTCCAAGGCAGTAAAGATATTATCAGAACAGATCAACCAGCACTATGAAGAGAGCTCAGATTTAGGAGAGGCGCAACCAAAGACCGGCGGGGATCCATGTGCTGCTAGAGGCTTAAACGGCAGATGGTATCGCTCGTTACTGAAACAAGACATGACTTGCGATGGTGCTGTAGAAGTCTTGCATGTGGATGAAGGAAAAACTGAATTAGTTCCAGTTGCAGACATCAAACCACTGCATGGAAAGTTCCTGAGAATGCCAGTGTTCACATATCCCTGTTCTCTTGATGGTTTAAAAGATAACTGCACAGAGTGGACTACAGACCAGATTGACTACTTGAAATCACTACTCCTGCACCAGACTTTTGTGGCGAGGTTTGAACACTACAATATATCTCAAGATGTCTATTATGTCACTCTCTATGATAATGCTGAATGCATAAACAGTAGTTTTATGGAGAAGGCAAGACTTTTTCCACTCACGAAGACTGAACAAGATCTTAATGTGCATGATGAATCCATTCCCTCACCATCTCTCAGCTCACCTGGAGATTCTTTACTAGAGGAAACTTTGCCAAACGCCAAGAAAATAGCAGTCAATAACCGGACAGATGATCTAGTCCCTTCTGGCGCTGATGATACCCATATGAAATATGGCTCAGAACATCCAGACCCTCTAGTAGAAAGCAATGGACATCTTCCAACAGGTTACCCCTCTGAGGTGCAAAATGCCTGTGATGACAATGTGTTGACTGTAGGAAGTAGTGTCAATGTAAACATATCTTGCATTGAAAGTCTACAGAAGTTCTGGTGTCAAGAAACAGAAAATGCTGACTCACTTAGACTCCTTATGCAAGACCTGCAAAACCACTATGCATCCACCCACCCTCAGCCACTTGTCGAGTCTGCCTTTGTAGCCCGTAATCCAGAAAATGACATGTGGTACAGAGCAAGGATCATTGCAAGTCACCATTCTCCTGTTGTAGATGTGAGATTTATAGACTATGGTCAAACTCAAAAAGTCCCTTTGCGAGATGTGCAGCCCATTGATCCAGCTTTCTTGCAGCTGAATGCACAGGCTTTTCAATGTTGCTTATTCAATCTTAAGAATCCCATGAATCCCACTGCCGTCACTGAGTTTCAGAAGTTTGTGGATTCCAGTGCTCTGTCAAACATTGGGTTGAAATGCATTGTAAAAGCAGTAAAGTCTGATGAAGAAGGTCAGCTGCTTAACATCGTAGATATTGAAACACCATCTGACAGTGCCTCTGAGCTTCTGGCTCAGACATGTTCACAGGATGAAGCTGACATGCAAATTCCTCCCCAGATCTCACCAGATGCATACACTTACTCCACACACAATATTGAGGTCGGTGGAAAAGAAAAAGGGTGGGTATGTTCTTCAGAGAATGTCAATCACTTCTACTGCCAACTGGATAGGAATTTTCCTTTATTTGAGAAAATGACAAAAAATGTTCAACAACTCATTGGCCAGCAACAGTTCACAGATCATTCACTTGGACTTAATAGTACTTGCTTTGCTAGGTACTCTGATAATCTGTGGTACAGAGGTCAAGTAGTCGAAGTCTCTCCAAAACTTAAAGTGCACTTTGTGGACTTTGGTGATACCTTTGTAGTGAATGAATCTGATATTATCCCCTTTCCCACTGAAGCCACTCTCGCCAGGTCTGTTCCTGTGCAGGCTTTTCCACTTGGACTGTTTGATGTCCCTGCAGACGTGCCACAGGAAGTCAACCAGTGGTTTGCAGATGAGGCCATTGGCCATAGTTTCACTATTTCAGTGGTAGCAAAAGGGACAAAAGGGAAGCTAATCGTTGAACTCTATAATGGATCTCTGAATGTAAATGTGATAGTCAGAGAGAGGATATCACAGATCAAGCAACAAAAAATGACTTGTCAGCAGACTGACCAGCAACTTTCTAACAGCTCAAAACAAGCTACTGTGCCAAATGAGGACTCTTTAACACAAGATCTCATGAATCTATCTTTAATAACTAAGATGACAGAACAAGATAAAGTCAGCAGCAGTAATGGAATGTGTGCAAGAGATGAGCTAAAGATGAGTTCACAATCCATAACTAATGTATCTGCACCACAGATTAAACATGAAAAGACATTGGGAGAAGGAAGAAAAACAATTTTGGATGTAATTATTGAAGACATAGAAACTGTGTTGACAGAGACTTCCATAGAAAGTGGCCACAGTGACTCGGAAATGTCACAACTTTCCCTTTCTTCTTGCCCAGAGGGAAATGTGAACATCTGCATGTACAAGAGACCAAACGTAAACAAGACAGAGATGGTTTACGCCTCTTGTATTGTTGAACCCCGTTTTTTCTGGTGTCAGTACGCCAACACAGAGGAGCTCAACAAAGTGTCGAAGCTTGCTCAGGAAGCAGGACAGGCCCAGCAGGATAATATGTTCCCCAAGACTCTTGGTCCTGGCAGTCCATGCCTCGCTCTGTTTTCCAGTGACAGCCAGTGGTATCGAGCTCAAGTGATTCACAGAGTTGACGATGCATTCCATGTTGTGTTTATTGACTATGGAAATGAGTCTGATGTTGACATCATGAATGTGAGACCACTGCCTCAGAGTCTGCTGGAGGAAGCCCCTCAGGCCTTTTTGTGCTCTTTGAAAGGATTTGATGAGTCTGAGGGCTTCTGGGATGACAGTGTGTATGATGACTTCTACAATCTCTTGGTTGATAAACCACTCAGAGCGACAGTGTTCAATATGGAAGACCATTCAGAGATTGCAGTTCCTGAATATGCAGTGCAAATAGAGTGTGAAAACGTGATTGTCAATGACACAATGCAGAAATACTGGAAACCAATTTGCACAGAACATGTTATGACAGAAAACCTACTCCAGGGTGGTCAAACTGAGTCCAACAGGGCACAACTTAATGGTTCCACAGAATATGTGAACACTTGCATGTACAAGTGTCCAAACATCTCCAAAAACAAAAAAGAGGAGGTATATGCGTCTTGTATTGTGGAACCCTGTTTCTTCTGGTGTCAGTACACCAATACAGAGGAGCTCAACAAAGTGTCAAGGCTTGCTCAGGAAGCAGGACAGGCAGAGCAGGACGTACATTTCCCTAAGACTCTTGGTCCTGGCAGTCCATGCCTCGCTCTGTTTTCCAGTGACAACCAGTGGTATCGAGCTCAAGTGATTCACAGAGTTGACGATGCATTCCATGTTGTGTTTGTTGACTATGGAAATGAGTCTGATGTTGACATACAAAATGTGAGACCACTACCTCAGAGTCTGCTGGAGGAAGCCCCTCAGGCCTTTTTGTGCTCTTTGAAAGGATTTGATGAGTCCGAGGGCTCCTGGGATGACAGTGTTTTTGATGACTTCTACAATCTTCTGGTTGATAAACCTCTCAGTGTGACAGTGTTCAACATGGAAGACCATTCAGAGATTGCAGTTTCTCAATATGCAGTGGAAATTGAGTGTGAGGGAGTGGTTGTAAATGCAGCAATGCAGAAATACTGGAAACCATTTGCAGAAGAAAGTTTTTTGATAGAAAGCCTTGAACCAGAAACTTTCCTCGATGATGTTCAAACTGACTCCAACATGGCACACCTCAGTATTTCCAAAGAAAAAATTAATACATGCATGTACAAGAATCCAAACATTTCTAAAAACCAGACAGAGATGGTTTACGCCTCTTGTATTGTGGAACCTAATTTCTTCTGGTGTCAGTACGCCAACACAGAGGAGCTCAACAAAGTGTCGAGGCTTGCTCAGGAAGTAGGACAGACAGAGCAGGACGTAATGTTCCCTAAGACTCTTGGTCCCGCCAGTCCATGCCTCGCTCTGTTTTCCAGTGACAACCAGTGGTATCGAGCTCAAGTGATTCACAGAGTTGACGATGCATTTCATGTTGTGTTTGTTGACTATGGAAATGAGTCTGATGTTGACATCAAGAATGTGAGACCACTGCCTCAGAGTCTGCTGGAGAAGGAGCCCCAGGCATTTTTATGTTCTTTGAAAGGATTTGATGAGTCCAAGGGCTCCTGGGATGACGGTGTTTATGATGACTTCCACAGTCTCTTGGTTGATAAACCTCTCAGTGTGACAGTGTTCAACATGGAAGATCATTCAGAAATTGCAGTTCCTCAATACGCAGTGGAAATCGAGTGTGAGGGAGTAGTTGTGAATACACTGATGGAGAAATACTGGAAAGTTCTGGACACAAACCATGCCTTGGCAGACAGGGTGGGATCAGGTTAGTCGACTATACTTGGTGTCACTTTTGGAAACCTTAGAAAGGTCTTGTTACTAATTTAGATTAATTAGGTTTTTAATGAATGTCATATTTACAAGTTGTTTAATGCCATTGGATTTCTCGTCTGTAGGTGACCAGGATGATGAGAACGGCGTTTAAAGTCATTGAAAAGCTATGGAATGAATGGTAGGACTTTTTTTTCTCACCAATTTCATTAATTACAAACAACTAATTGGTAAATTATTAAAATTTGAGTAATTTCATGGAGGTCTCACAATGTAAATCCCTAATTAAAGAATAAATGAAAGCACTTTTAAATTGAATGTTTCAAAATGTGATATAATCTTTGTCTATTTCAGCTCCGGACCGAGATAACTGCCCATGTGGAAATCCAGTTACAGAGGGCTCTTGACTTTTGTGAACAGACAGTGCATGTTTGTCTCGTTAGAAATGTTTCCAACTCTAATTTTACTAACTAAATGGAATGAATGTGGTTAATTTGTGTCAATAAACATACAGTACTTGTTTAAGGGGATGAATTTTTATAATGGATCACACATTTACATTTTAATAGTCAATTTTACAGGCTTTAACTACTGTATGCTGAGACCAGGGAATAACATATTTTTTCCTCTTCAGCTATAACTATGTTGAATGATACAATCACTCCATTATTTTTTAGATGAAAGTGATCAAATGTGGGTAATTTGGAGTTTGGAGAATCTGAGTTGTAGTTATGTGTTCACCAAGAACTCCTGAAGTGTCCTGAGGTTCAAACAAAACAGACCTCAACCGAACCCACATTTAAAATGGGTTGCTTAGAGACATTTGAAAGGGTTTTATTATATTTCCACCATTTATATATGCTGCCAAATCTTTAAAAATCGTTAATTATATCCAACCTTAAGATGTGGGTGATCTTTTCAAGAGGGACACTCATTTTTCATAGCCTTCTGAGAGAGAGTTCGACTTAAATATAATTCTTAAACACTTCCAGGAAAAATATAAATTCATAAAAAGATCTTTGATACATTGTAGACACGCACCAATATTGGTAAGAGATTAATTCACGTGTCATTGTGTTGCAGATGCACAGGCAGGTACAGTCAACTTTCCTAGAGGCGTATCTCTGATCATTGTGGTATGAGGTAGAGTTGAGGAAGTTATATCATTCTGTTTCTAGCTTTGATAGTAGATGAATAGCTTCACACAAGTCTGACCATATTACTCATGTCTTATTACTATCTTTTGTGACATATGCAGGTCTATCTTTGGACTCCCCCTCAACCATAAGTACGTTCTTGGTTTGAATCTTGTTTACAACCCACATGAAGCAAGCTATCTTAATTACTGATTGCCAGTGTACTTATTTCTAAGTAAAAATCTTAATTGTATTTAATGAAATACATTCTTTTGAGGTGCTAGAAATTACGGTTACAATGTCATTAAAGTTTGATATGGTATTAATTTACGATGTCAAACTTTCATAATCATGCTAATGTTAGCTTCAGGGTCGCTTAGCTTAGATTTTCATTCACAGCCATTTAAAAGCTAACTTAATTCTTTCTGTGTGATATTAAAGGATACTTTATAAGCGCATCATGACCATGAAGTTCCGCTTCATCAGTGTGTTATGTACAGTGTTGGGCAGTAACTCGTTACTAGTGATAATATTACAGTAATAATATTACTTTCCCCAGTTACTAGTAGTGAAACTAATTACTAATACATTTAAGGAATAATATTAGTTACTTCCCCAAAAATAATACTTAGTTACAGTATTACTTCTGTTGTCTGCTACTAATTTGAAATCCATAAATCCAATCACATCCCTCATTAATTTTTGTAATCATGGAGGAAGCTGGAAATATTCCCATTACTTTAATTTTAACTTTATTCCCATTACTTTCATTTTAACAAACAAAACTGGATTTTTAATCATCGTAAATCAGAATTTTGGGGAGAAGGGACACAATTTTGTGGAGAGTAGCATAAAAGTACTCTAACTAGTAGTGTAACTAATTACTGCTTGCAGCGAGAAATAAGTATTTATATTACTTTTTTAAAAGCATAATGAGTAATAAATTATTATTATTTTTTTTTAAGTAACTAGCCCATTATTGGTTATGACACAGCCTGGTGTCACCTTTATCTGCAGCAGGTGGCAGCATTCACCGTTTGCAGGTTCATGTTAAAGCTTGGCTCCATCTTGTGTTGATCAACTTGTTGCCTGGCAACCTCTGCAACGAAATGACAGAGTTGCACCAGGCAGCAGCAGCGGGGGATTTCGACCAAGTTGAGGAAATTCTGGGGCAAAATAAATGCAATCCCAATCAGAGAGACATCGACTGGAGCTACAAGACACCTCTTCACTGGGCTGCAGCTAAAGGTAAGTTAGTGGACATGTACCGGATCCATTTTCCTCATACACCCTATATATCAATAGTTTTCCACCTGTACATGCGAATGGGTGTCCGAAATGCTCTGAAAAGTCATATAACGTTATAGTCATATATTTTCCTTAATTCCAACACTTACTGTTCATTTCTGTTCAAATAATGTCTATAAATCCACGTTTAAACCCTGTACAAATTATTTATCCACATACTGTATGTTGGGTTGAAAGATCAATAATTATAATTATTGTGCTTTTCTGATCAGCCTTCAATTTATTAGCTTGTTTCACTGTGTTTTGAAGTATAAACACAACTTTTGGCTACAGTACAGCATCAGAAAACATCAATAACTTAGATTTTAGAAGCAATTAAGTATTAGTCTGTAGTCTATTAAAAACCAAATTGTCAATCAATTTGGGATTCTTTACCAACCATTAACGGCTTTAACCATTATAGGTTATTTTTTGTTATCAATTATTTGATGGATTGCTTTCGTAGTTTAATTTTTTCTTTTTTTAAATCCTGAGAAATGTTCCCAACATGTGATCTTCATTTGTCTTGTTTTGCCTGAACAAAAATATTCCTTTTACAATGACATAAACAATCCATTTATCAATTACTAATAAATGGATGGATATCAATTAACTGATAAATGGATTATGCCTTCTGTGTTTTGCACCCTTTTTTTGAAATTACTGATTTTTTTGGTTATCTTGTTGCTTCCTACACACATCCTTTCAATCTTTTTGTCGTAATAATTACAGAATAAGAGTCATAATGTCCTTTCTCACAGTAAATAAGAATTTGTTTTTAACAGACTATATTTTAAAAAATCACCAGTTTCTTAAATATGTCAGATCACAGTGGGATGCCTTTTCTCTAAAGGACATACAGAAACGGTCAGGATCCTCATTGAGCATGGAGCCAGGCCGTGCCTGAGGACAGAGCACGGATGGACCCCTGCGCACTTCGCCGCAGAGTCAGGCCGGCTGGCTGTGCTGCGGCTGCTGCACTCCCTCCATGCGCCTATAGACAAGGAGGACTGCTGTGGAGACAAACCAGTGCGAATAGCTGAAATATATGGACACCAGGACTGCGTTCGATTCCTTAAAAAGTATGAAATGACACCAGGTTTTCTCATTTTTCCACCACTGGTTTTATTTATGAATCATAGCTCCTTGATTGTATTGTCACATGTGTTATACTTAACAAATACAAAAGCTTTTCTTTTAGATATGCCGCCTAATAATCTCATACAATGACTTTATACAGAAGTTAAACAAGTAAAATTGCCCTGTTTTTGTGTGTTGCAGAGCAGAAATTGAGTGCCAGGCCTACCGCAATATGGCTGCCCAAAAAGGGATTTCCCTGGATGACACAGACGAGGATTGGGCAGAAAAGGGCAAAGAAAACGAAGAAAACAGGATCTCTAAAAGCAACATTCAGACATAGGCCTAACTTACAGTTATGCAGCAAAGTAGCCTTTCAGTAAACAGTGTTTCTGTGGCATTTCAGCATTTCAGTCATGGAAAACATGGAAAATAGAGTATTGCTTAAACCACAATTGACATTAATATTTAGTTTAATTGAAATATCAGACACATAGGTATGTACTAAACAAACATTACAACTTTGTGCAGTGGACTTAACATGTATCACAGATAATAACCCAAAATAAACAAGAGACAAATAATCAAACCAGAGAGTAAATGTGCTTATATATTTTATGTGTAAATTGTTTTGATTTAAAGGTCCAGTGTGAAAGGTTTAGTGGGTATATTGGCAGAATAATACAGAAATTGAATACCAATATAAATGACTAAGTATGGGTGAGGTGAGGGGTGTTCAGTTGGTTGCGACCTCACTGCCACTAAACACACGATGCACAAGTTTGAGACGATTTTTACTTATTCATAGTTGATTCTAACTTTGTGGTGCTGTCATTAGTCGATGCGTGAGTGTTGGTCTGGGGAGCAGAGGAGATGTGTAAAATCACTCAGTGGTCATTGTGCTATTTTATATACGATTAAACCAAGTGTAGTGCACTAACCTTGCTTGTTAGACGATTCAGCAGTGCTTCACGGGTCTATCAAAAGTGAATTAAAACAGTTTTAATGAGGCTATTCTTATTACACAAATTGTAAATCGGATACACTCCCTAGGACTTTATTTGATTACTGATATTGTGAATCCCTTACTGGGCTAAATGTACTCTCACTGCACTTTTAAATGAATTTAATTAAATAGAGAATATCTACAATAACCAATGGCATCTATCCAAATGTTATAGCTCCTACTGATACTAGGGCTGCACAATTAATCACTAATATTATACAAATTTTTTTGATCAACACTGAAATCACAATTATTTCACTGCAATAATTCAGTTAGCTCATGTTCCTCCAGTAAAGTGCTTTTAATGTGAAGCTGCAGCAGTAGGAAATGTTCAGTTTTTGTCAGCAGTAACTTCAAACTGCTTTTTTTCTGCGAATAAAAGTATCCAGGCTGCAGCTGCAAACGTCAATATCGTAATCACATTAATGTAATTGTGGGAAGCCAAAATTGAGACTAACTGAGACTAGATATAATTGAGTCTCACCCCTTTCTCCTCTATGCTCCAATAACTTCCTCCTTTCCTGTACTTAGATATGTGCTAAGCTCATCTATGTTGAGAAGACAACTACATTTTTGAGGTGGTTAAAGGATAAAAGTGGAATAGGCCTATATATATCTGATGTTATCTAGCTAATGTTAGCAAAATGCTAGCTAACTAGCCAGCTAATTTACATAAGTTGTCGCTTTTATCTTTTAACCATTGAACCAACCAAGTTTAGTAGCATGTAGCATTATGTTAGTAGGCCAAAAGGAAAGGGGAGAGTTGACTGAGGTTCCTACATGCTCAACTGTTATTGGAGGACAGATCAAAAAGGGGCGGGACTTAATAAAACAAGCTACAATACAAATAGGCAATTTATTTTTAGATGTCAAACTAGCTTACCAGTTTGTCCCCCAGGCACGTGGTTAACAAAATGAACAAACCCTGCAAATGAAACGACATCGGTTACTGAACGAGAAATGCTTTTACTGCTCTAGATGTTTACTGGAAGATTGTATTGACCGTACCTGGAATGCGTTCAGCAGCGTAAAGGTGTAATTGACGACATAGGCTATGTTCCCAGATGTGAGATCAATAAGCATTACAGCAAACCCAAAGATCCAAGTCAGACCGAAGACTGGCGTCAGAAGGACGACTGACCTCACGACAGTTATGGCCGCCTTTTTTTCTTTGTCGTGAGATTTGTCTACGTTCTTAGGGTGATCCAAAAGCTTCATGATTACCACCACCATGGAGAAAACGTTGATGAAAACAATTATACCCACTGGTATGACAAACGTGTAGATTGACCCTTTCATAAATCCATCATAAACAAGCCAACAGGTGTCGTAGGAGTAGTACTTGTTTTTACCACCGGCCATATAGACAAGAAGAGATACAGCAACAATGAGCAGAGGACACACGTAGCCCAGGACTATTGAGAACCTGAGGTAGGTTTTCTTGCTTACATTATGGAACAGGAAAATCGCTTGATGAAGAAGCGTGCTGCTCAGACACAACATCCAAAAGAACATGGACAGGTAACAGAAATGCTTCAACACGACAAAGGCACCGCACATGATTTCTGAAATATTCTTAGGCTCAGAAGACGCTAAAAAACAGCAATCTGCAATTAGCAAACAGAGAGAAATGTTTACGTGGGCAGTATGGCGTAAATATAAAGTATTTGTCTTAACCACGGCGTTCCAGATAGTCAGTTCGATCAGAAGGTTAATAACGAGGGATATTACTGATACAGACAGTCCGGCGTAGGTTATCTCCGTTAACCCAGTGATGTTTAGGGGATACTTTGACATGAGAATGGCAAATGAGGACAGATGTTCGCAAACACATTCTGTCTCACTAGACGGACCTTGCCATGTGCATCCTTCTCTTGACCAACCTGTCCTATTCCCGTCCCAGTACACGCACTGTATATCAACGTTGCGAGGCCTCTGCTTGAGCAGTTCGAAGGTAATTCTGACTGACACCGGACTCTTTTGTTTGTTGTCAGTAGTTGTTGACACGACAATGCTGTTGGGGCTGAACTCTGTATTATTGTTGGGCAAATACTTATCCAGTTCAAGAAACCCAGCTGTTTTTACTTTGACAGCAACTGAACTTTCAAGTTTGACGGTGACATTGAACACCTTGTTGGTACAATTCGACAACTGTGTGCAACTGCGTTCTGCTACCTCTATGTTTTTCTTTTTAGGGGCATTTGTTATGTCTGCCACCTTAATTAATTTCTCAACAGAACTCAAATATACGTCAGCCAGGGGTTTTTCGTCTCCTTTGGGCTTTGTTTCCCATGAAGCTTTAAGAGACCTGTCCAGCAAATTGCTGGATGACTCCAGAAAGTCCTGAAAAGTAAGAAGCTTGTTTCAGTTACAGTTGATTCAAGACATGTCTGCTCAAAGTTAGAAAACGCCATTCCCCTGCTCATAATAATTATGAAAAAGAATAATAGGGTTTCATGGAATATGTAACAATGCAAATATGTCTGTTTGACAGTAGTTACACTGAATATTGGTACAAAATAATCATTGTTGGCAGCTTAAAGTTACAATCCTTAAGATTTGAGTCCTGATTGATTTGACACCTGTGACTGGTCATAACAGTAAGTGAGGATTTATACTACAGCAAACACTTGTTGACCAGATTTAGTCAGAAATACAACATAAGAGCAACTGGTGAACCTGCTTTCACATTGTTTTAACAAAAAGTCTGTATCAGATTATTATATCAGAGGATCATAGCTTTATCTTGGAGAAAAATGGATGTACCTTCCATTTGCTGTGTGTTACTGAGTGTTTCTACATTGTTGTTATTGTTTTGTTTCTTTTTTCTTTCATTTTTTATCATCTCTTATCTGATTTCTTAACAATTTCTTTGTTAAATAAGTAAAATGCTGTGTTTCTATTGCTTTTATTTGTGAAAACCGTAACAACATATTTATTGTGTAATTATTCTTGTCTATTTGTATATGTTTATATATGCAAAATTTAAGAAGATAATGAAATATGCTGTAATACTTACATTTGTTGCTGTTGAATTTGGCTTTACGGCATTCTTTTTACTCAAAGTGTCGAGTATTGCAATAGTTGCATTCATATTGGCAAACGTGTTGATAGACTTTGAGTCATTAGTGACCTTCCCAAGGAGGGAAAACACTTGTGCAACGTTGTCGTTTGCTATGCCAAGTCCAATGTCAACAATCTGTAACAACAAATTACGAGTGAGGATTAATTGTGTTAGAATGAAAATTGTCAGCTCAGATTTCTTTTCCAAAAAATGCTACTGTGAGTTGGTTCGATATGAGTCACTTTTTATATTAAATGATGAACATCTCATTTTATCTCCTTTGGTTATTAAAGTCAGACTTACGGTTGCTTTCTGCAGCACATTGGTCACTTCATTATTCACACACCCTGAAACCTCCGCTTCCCATTTCCCCGAGCTGAAACAATTAGGTGATTAATTGATCAAAAGAAAAAGGTAATCATCAACAAATATAATATTCAATTTGAGGAACCAAGGCCATAGGATTTAGTGGTATCTAGCAGCATAGTTCACCCTCCCGTTACAAGGGCCCTATCTAGAGCCAGTGTATGTTATGTCCCTTCTGGGCTACTGTTGAACAACAGAAGGCGACCTGCAGCGTCTATAGATAAAAACGACTCATTCTATAACATATCTATGAATATTATATTCCATTTCTGCCAGTAGTGCCTTCACAAACTGGATCTTTAAGTTCCTCAAATTTAATATTTTCTAGTTTTCCTTGTCTAAGCAATTGTGATGAGCATTTTCCATTATTTGGAGACAATATATAGACCAAACAATTAATGGATTAATCAGAAATGGCAATAAAACAGATTATTAATTGTAGCCCCACCTATCGCAGTATCTTTGTCTTTGTCCAGTTGAGTCTTTGCATTGTAACCGTGCAGTGAATCCAGCTTTGGTGTTTTTCCAGTCACCATCATCTTTACAGAATGTATCATTTACTGTTTTAAAGAAAAGTTGGGATTAATTATAATTTATTACATATATCAAATATATTTAATACACACACATATACACAACTAATATATGTTACCATGAAATTATGTTTTATATATTTCCTATATCATACAAATATTTGATTTGGCCAAAATCACTCCCTCATTCACTCATTCAATATTCCCTGCATCAGTGGTTCCCAAACTGGGGGGCTGGACACCCGAAAGGGGTCACAGGTTCAGTTCATTAAAAAAACATACAGTAGGCTATCTGTGAAAAAATACTCAATCACTCACTACGTGGCTCTTTACTATGTAAACTAAGTATCTTTACTACTTTACTAAGAGTAGTACATAGTATTAGTAACATATCTGTAAACTAATGCAATAGTAATTTTGTATATCTTGGTTTTCTCTTTATATACAATATTTTACATATTCGTAGCATCACACTGTTATTATGTATAATGTGCTTACTTTACCTACTATATGTAGTTCACGCATGGCTGCTGGAGTTACTACTGTTCTTATCTTCACTAATATTGCCAAAGGCATTGCAGCTTACTTTGACCACATAAACAGTATGACACCTTCATATCACTAAATTTCAATATTTAGGAAAAAAAATTCAATTGGCTGAAGAAAGGTTTTGGATATAAACATTATTATTATTTTAAAATATTTTATCACGGATCACTTTTTTTGGTTGAAGTCACAACTCAGACATTTGCAACCTGTTAGATATGGTTGCCATTAGAAACTGCTTTGCTTTGAACGGTCGCAACCCAGGGAACCACTGCCCCACATAATAACACAGTTCACTTGAGAGTGGGTAGTAAACTGAGATTTCAGACACTAAATAAATAAATAATAATCATTGTCCATATTCTATTCTACATCTATGAAAGTTTTTCTAAAAGACACTATATTTTGTTCATGTGAGGGCAATATACGCATAAAATTCACATTAAAATAAAATGCCAAAAGTAGAATATATTACTATTAGATATGGAGTGATATATACTACAACATACCACGTATGATATTGATATCAGTTGTAGCAGTGCTGACTTGATTGCATGTGTCGTTAAAGCTGCATGTTATATTTGGATAACTGGGTACAGATTTACAGTCAACAACCACTGACGCAGTATAAGTTCCTGGGGTGGTATCTGCAAAGATCACATATGCATGTCATATATTTTCAAATTCATAGGGATTTGCACAAGGATTCATTTAAATGAATGAAGACAAAAGAAAATGCACTTACAAGTTTTTTGCACTATCTTGATGTCTGGGCTTTTCCATGTCACAATAAGACTTTCATTCTTATTCTGTGTCTGACATGTGATCTGTACAATCAGACTATCTATGCCCTCTGTGCAGTACGGAAAACTTGGAGCCACGGTGATGTCAATTTTTGCCTTAATTTTTGCGTCCAGTACAGATTTGGCTTTGTGGGTTATTGTGTAATACTCTGACGTTTGGATGTAGAGACACGTGTACTCTCCTAAGAAAAAGAACAGGGATGAGAGTTACAGCCACTTAGTGTTAAACTTTAATGTGATTATCAGTGGTGGAAAGTAACTAAGCACATTTACTCAACTACTGTACTTGAAAGTAACTTTGTTTTTTTTGTTTTTTTGTTGATTCTAGTGGACACCCTGAGCAAAAAAGTGTCCTCAAAGTGTTTCAACCACCTCGTTTCATTGATTTTAAGGAGAATCTGACCAAATCTGACCCGGTGTCAGGCATTGATAATAATTTTATAGAAATAGCCAATCTTGTCACTGATGGTCTGATGATAAACAGGTAAAAACCCCTAGTAGTAGATTAAAGTACAATATTGAGGTACTTTTTTGTTAGTTTTTCAACTTTATACTTCTACTCCACCACATTTCGGAGGCAAATATTGTACTTTTAACTCCACTACATTTATTTCATAACTTTAGTTACTGGTTACTTTGTAGATTTAGATCATAAATACAAAAAAGAAAAAAAAAAACAATGACCTACATAAATCATCAACAAGAAGAAGCCTGCCACGAGGTCGCCTTTGGTCGGATACCGCCAGAATCAACACAAAATGAAAATTCCATGTTGCTGCTTTAAGTAAAACTACCTAGTAACTTTCAATCAGTGATTACTTATTGACACACTCCAGTTGACAGACTAAGTATATGACATGTAAAATACAGTGGCTGAAACAAATATACCTTCCCAGAGTTCTGATATGTTATTAAGTTTGATTTTGGTCTCCAGTGGTTCAATTGTCACTTCTGACTCTGTGCCATTAGTTATTTCAAACTTTTGGCCCTCTCTTTCCAGCTCCCACTTCGGTGGTTCTTGGGTTACCAGCGGCTCCTTTACAGTGCATGTGATGCTGTGTTGTTTGTCCTGACACACAGGCTTATTTGGCATCTGTAAAGTAACAACACCTGCAAAAAAAAAAAATAAAGAAAAAAGTTAAATCAGTATAGAAACCTAGGTGTTGAAATCCAACTAAGCTTTAATCTATGCAGACTAATCAGCGTCCTTTGTGGAAGTACTGGCAGCTACAGGGTTGGGCAGCATAAAGCTAAGCATAGATGTTGCTAGCATCAGTAATTGAGAGAGTATTTCTTCATTGACAGAAGAGAAAACGTTTCACTCTTCTCCCGACTGGCTTCAGTAAGAGTTTGAGTACATTATATGGTTCATTGATCTGATTTGGTTGAAGTTTGCCTGTTATAGTCGGTGGCAGAGGGACCAATCGCCTGCTGAGTATTTTTTTTTTTTTTTTTTTTTTTTAAGTGTCTGCCCTTTTCCAAACAGTTTCCAATGATGACTTCAGAAAACCAGACGGCACTTAAGCTCTGGTCTCACTGCCTGAAACGTACTCAAAGTATAAGTCTTGGTTCCTCTGAAGGACATTTCTACTGGCTGTTTCTGTGCAAAGAAATTAATTCAAACTGAAGCAATGAGCCTGTTTTGAAAATGTAAAGAGAAGTAAGTACAGATATTTGTGTAAAAATGTCGGGGGTAAAAGTAAAAAAGTTGTCAGAAAAGTTGTCAGTAAAGTAAAAAATACTTAAAGGTCCAGTGTGTAACATTTAGGAGGATATATGGAATATACTTCACTACCTAAATATATAGAAATCTTCATAAACTTAGAATGAGTCTACAGACGCCATGTTGAACCACCATGTTTCTACAGAAGCCCACAATGGACAAACCAAACACTGGCTCTACATTAAGCCTTTTTTACGTTTTTCACAGGTTTAACTTTAGTTTCTTCTGCGCACCTCACACTCGTTCTCATTCTAAATTGAGACACGAGAGCTGTTCAGTTAGTTTCGATCTACAACTTCACCGCTAGATGCCACTTAATTCTACACACCGGTCCTTTAAGCACAGAGGTAGGAAGTAACAAAGTACAAATACTTTGTTACTTCCTGCCTGATATAATTACCTGCAGTCTCCATTTTTAGTTTTCCTAACAGGGACTTCCCCAGGTTTACTGTTAAGCTTTGCAGATATGCTATGTTGATATTTTGAGCAAAAGCCATTTCAAAATCTACGATGACGCTTCCCAACCTTCAGTGAAGAGAAAATACGGATTTCAGTTACATATTGAAAACCTAAAAACAATAATTTTTTTTGGTAAACAGAGCAAGTACCTGTAGCTGAGAATTTTTAAGATGTTAAATCCGCTCAAAGTGCTGTAGACTTTTTTCATCTGAAAGATAACAGCTCATAACACTTAATACATTTTTACACATCAGTATATTGTCGACAAATGACATTATCTAAATTAATTACATGATTCCTAATCTGATGAATGAAATAATTCATTAAATAATGTGCTGTTTATTCCTAAATATTTTTTTTTACCTCAGTAAACAATATGGTAGTACAATTCTGATAGCGCTTGTCTCCGGTGTCCAGACAAGGGAAATATTCGTCTCCTTGTAACGTAAGGATTCCTCTGATGGTAACTGTGCAGAAAAGAAGTTGTCAGTTTATTGGACACTTACATGCTTCATACACAGAAATACACACATACTGTATATACACAGTAGGAAAATGATCAAATACCTGATTTGTTTGAAACACACATGTCAGTGTCTTTGGAAAAGGTGCAGCTTATGTTGTTACAACATTTAAGAGGTTCACAAATCTTATTAGTCCAGATGAAGCCTGGCTCGCATTCACAGATTCTGTTAGTCAAGTTACTTTGACAGACTGATTAGGGAGGAAAAAAGCATATTAGTTTTACTCAGTGAGGATCAATCCCCTTTTCCCCAGTTAAAATCAGTCAGAACATTTAGTACTGAATGAAATATTAAAAATCTTTACTTGTCGTCTTGGAAAGGTCGTCAACATACACGTCTGAGTCTTTCATAAAAGGTTTCAGTAACGCCGTTATGTTTTCAATTGCACTTTCATCTATTGTCAGTTTGGCATAGTACATTTGTGTTGAATTGTCTGAAACATGCAAAACAGACAACTTACATGCAGTACATTTCAAAGTGTCACATACACTATATCTGTTTAATAACAATATTACACTAAAAAAAATATATTAACTAAAAATACAAATCATTTTACCTTGTCCAGTAGCCTGTGAAAGTCAAAAGAAAATCCATAATTTATTAATTCATTAATTCAATGCAATTTAATGTTGTAATTTTTCATTTTAAGATCTATGATACTGATGTACCTGAGAGGTGTGTAGCCCCAGGATATAAAACACTATAAAGAGCCACATCCTGTCCCTGTAAATAATCAACAACATAAGAAGTCATTTCTTTTGCCTTTTGATGAGTTGAAAGTCTGGTCACTGACTGACTATATAATGTAGGCTTACATACATTTTGTAACCGTTTAACACATCAACATAAATAGAGATTGACGACATGACAGCGTTTCAGAAGTGAAGCCAAAACATCTTTACCGTTCCCTGGTGGCTGATGCAGTACAGGTGATAAAGCCTGTTGCCTCCATGTTAACAGATGGGTCAAATACATTTTCCCCCACAGATGGTTTCTGTCATTTTAGGTAGTTCTTATCATGCTTATGTATGTTTTGTTCATTCTTCTGAAAAGGGGGTTTCACGTCATGATTGACAGCCGATATATCGATCTCGATACGGCGGCTCCAACCCTGACCCAACCACAGACTTTACAGATGGGAGCAGCTAATATCTGAGATTATTTTGGATTCATTCTTGTGTCGTGAGAGAAAGTGGAGACGCAACAGCCATCTTTTGCATGCTGATGGTTTATCAATATACGACCCAGACATATCTCCTTTAACGTACAGAACAATCAATGAGGAATTAACTCTCTGTGCTAAAACAGTTAATGCTACACATCTTACATATATTTGTCTCAGGCTTTTTATTATTGACGACAGAGGGAGCAGTTCAAACTGTGGCCTAAATATAGTTAACATTTTATCTTTTCATTTTTGTTGCCGAGTCCCTACAGAGTGGGCGAATGTTGTTTTGAGAATGACTTATGAGATTATTATTGAGAATGAAGATATTTTATTTTTTATTTTATTATGAGATGTTTGTAAATGAGAAACTTTTCAGTAAGGTTTATTTTAACTGTTACTTAAGTAAGGTTAGATAATAGCTTTATTATTGCACTGAATTCCTGAGATGAAATTAGCATAATGGCATTCAGCGTAATGAACGAGTACATTACTAAAAGCTACAAAAATATTTGTATCAGTGTCAGGCTTATTTCTAGGGAGCTGGTATTGACGACAGAGGGAGCAGATAAAACTTCGTCATATAATTTTCTCAGACTGTTCATTTGGTCAGTCTTCATTTTTGTTGCCAATACCATGATTTTTCAAGTTTTATGGATATACAAATTAGCCTTTAGGGGCTTTACAATCTGTACAACATACAACACATAGACTTACTTAGACTATACTTAGAACCTTGTTTCGGATTAAAGAAAAAGATCTCCCAAAAACTCACTGATGGCTAAAAAAATTTAACAAACCTCAAGAAGAACAACTGAGGAGAGGTTTCTCTATAAGACAATAGGTTCACATTTTTCCAAGTTTATTTTAAAATAATAATCAAATGCCCAAATGTACATAAAAAAGGGTTTAAAATAACTTGAACTGGCTCTCCTGGCCATAATACCACTCAGAAATCACTTCCTAACGCAATTATGTGTTAGAAATGTGTGCTTTATCAGTTGTTTTGTAAAACTAGATGCCAATTGTTTTGCTGTATGTTTCATTCTAACATCTAATGTAACACATAACACACGTTTTATAGAAAAATATGAATTATGAAATATGTATACCGCATAAGATAATCGACATATAAAAATCCGCTGACCTGTTTTCCTCAGTCTTTATCAGAAAACCATCACAGCAGCCTCACGATGTTAGAAGAACCCGTCTGCGACAGAGCAGCACACTGATGGAGCCGTTGTTGCAGCTGCTTACAGGGAAATGAAAAACCATACTCAGTTTCCAGGATACTACAACAACAGTACAGTTTAATGCAGACATGCAAAGTAAAAAAAGCTGTTATGCGGAGCTTATTTGACTTTCAAAACTTACTATGCAGTGTCTGTGTAACAGTGTTTATGAGCGAGCCTGTCAAGCTATAAAAACAAATAGATAGATAGATAGATAGATAGATACTTTATTCATCCCCAAGGGGAAATTCACAGTTTCCAGCAGTATCCA